TAATGACGTTGTTAGTTATGCCATGCATAATTACCTGTAGTTCGTTCGTTCGCATTCTTCGTCAGTTAGTTTTCGCTACCCCACCCCCCTACCCTTTTCAATTGGTGTTAGGTTTAGCCCAAGCTACAGCCGGGGGGGGGGTACTCCCTTATATGAGCTATATAGGTATGTGCTGCCCCAAAGAGTATGGTTTTTCATCCGTTTCGGTCATAGATAGGGTATCGATTTTAGCCTATTTTGGCCATTTTGATCATAAATATGGTATGGTTTTTGCACTCTAGCCTTGATATGGGTATGTTTTAAGAAGAAGCCACTTTTTGATCATTACCGAATAGTAAATTAACAAAAGCCATTCTCAAATTATGTTTACGGTAATTTAACATTGATCTGAACTAGGGAACTTATTATAACGCAGGTCTGAAACAGGGTATTGATTTCATGGTCGGCAGGTCTTAAATAGGGTATCGAATATTTGGTGAGGTCATAAATAGGATAGGGAATATCGCAGATTTTGGTCATAAATAGGGTAAGGGTTTTGGAAGTGGGCTGCACACCCCCACCCAACTTTTCTGAGAGTACCCCCCCGGGCAAGCAGATAACAGCGGAAAGTCCGGAAACCATGCCTTTGACCTCTAAAAAAATTGCTTTAGCACCGCCNCTGGGGAAGCTACACTCACGATTTGCCGCTATTCCCCACTATTCGAGACTATTCGCACTATTCGTACTATTCTTCTTCTGAAACGAGATGGCTTCAACTTTAGTACGAGCTTTGCTTTTTTCTGTGACCAAGAACAACCTTGCTGACTGCGATCAATTGAAGTCCTAGTCTATGGCCATTACACGTCTACTTGTAAACCTAAATGGTTTAATCCTATAATACCCTTAGACACTGGTAAAAGAAATATGTCTTCTAGGACTTCTAGCTCTCGGTAAAAATCTTGTTATAATCCTCGAAAACTCTATTTCCAGACTAGTGAGACGATCTCAGATAGTGCAGGCTGCAATTGATAGCTCTGGCACGGTAGTCCCACACGTACTCACCCCTGCTCGGTTCACTTCCGGTTTGTGTCTACCTTGGTAGTCTGCTAGGGCTTTTCCCCTTAGCAGTGTGTATGTTTCAAGGTTGTATTTTCATTCAAGGTGCAAAAATTACGTACAAATTACTACTGGTGTTTTACGTTGATTTTCTTTCATTTTTAAAAATTCAATGATACGTTGATGCAGCAAACGTGACAATTTAGCTCTTCACGCCAACTTTGTAACTTGATACTTTTGTTTTCCTCGCAAAGGCGTGTAATATGAAACCGTTGTTTTCTCCAAAACACATGGAAGATGTGCTTGTTTTTTGGAGATAAATGAAAGAAAGTTAAATATCTGATGTAGTGATGAAGAAACGG